GTTTCGGGTTTAGAGGTTTAGGGATTTAGGGGTTGCTGGTTTAGGGCTGCAGGGTTTAGGGGTTTAGGGTTTTAGGGCTGTAGGGTTTAGGGTTAAGGGTTTGGGTTTAGGGGTTTAGGGGTTAGGGTTAAGGGGCTTTGAGTTTAGGGTTTAGGGGTTTAGGGCTGTAGAGTTTGGGGTTTAGGGGTCTAGGGTTTAGGGGTTTAGGGGTTGGGCTTGGTGGGATCCGGTAAAAAATTTATTTAAATATTTTAAATAATAGTTTAAATAACTCAAATATTGGGGAGGGGGTCCCGGGTTCCCGGTGGGGGGTCCGGGGGCGGGCCCAGGAATTAAATTATCAAAGTTATTTACATTTTTTAATTCCCGGCCCGACTTAAATAATTTACATACTTTAAATATTGGGCTGGGGCTCCGGATTTAAGTTATGTAAATTATTATTGAGTCCCCGGCCCCAATTAAATAATCTAAATAATGTAAATAATTTAAATAATCTAAATATTGGGGAAGGGGTCCCGGGGGTCCCGGTGGGGGGTCCGGGGCGGGCCCAGGTATAAATTATTTAAATTATTTAATTCCCGGCCCCAATTAAATAATTTAAATAATGTAAATAGTTTAAATAATGTAAATATTGGGGAAGGGGTCCCGGGGGTCCCGGTGGGGGTCCGGGGCGGGCCGAGGTATAAATTATTTAAATTGTTTAATTCCCGGCCCGAATTAAATAATTTAAATAGTTTAAATATTGGGCTGGGGTTCCGGATTTAACTTATTTAAATTCCCGGCCCCGACCCCCGGGAAAACCCTAATAGGGTCTATTTGGAAGCTGGCTCTAAGTATTTCCTCTATAAAATACAAGCGCCAGCTTCCAAATAAACCCGGTTTAAGCGCGCGGGAGGGGGAGGGGGAGGGGGAGGCGGAGAGGGGAGAGGGGAGAGGGTAGAGAAAGGGGAGGGGCCCAGGGCTCAATTCCGCCCAAGTGTCGGCGGCATTGAAGGCCTCACCGATGAGGTTGCCCATGGCGTCAAAGACGGCGCCTTCTTTGCCGGCGCAATCTTCGGCGCCGGCAACTGGGTCTTGGCCCTCCAAAGCCCCACCCTGCCGCCCAAGGAGGCGGCACCTTGACGAATGGTGTGGCCAGGGCACGTCCGGCGGTCTGTCGGTGAGGGCGCACTGCCATCATCCTCCGATCGGAACCAAATGGGCCGCCGACTCAATGATGCCGTAGGCATCGAGGGTGTGGATGTAGGCACCGCCCGACTTCGGCGATGATGAGCTCGTCGTCGACATATGGTGAAAGCCAGCCCGTGAGTCGGCGCCACATCGACGTGCGGCTGGGCGTCTGCCGCCCCTTCGATCTGTGTCTTCCGGGGACAGCGCCCGAATGGCCTCCGTCAAAGCCTCAAAAAAGAAGACCCGGCGACAAAAGTCGTGAAAATGTGCCACTCCGTCTGGACCCTATACGTCCTTGAAGTTGAAGGATCAGCGGGGGTGTCGCCCCAGACAGAGGACGCGCGGAGATCTCAGGCTTGGGCTCCTCGCCCGTCTTGCTGCCCAGCGTAGGATGCATGACATTCTCTCCAATGTCGCCCGTCGCGGGCATCTCCCCGGGCGAAGCGCAGAAGTCGCCGAGGTCGACATAGTGGCGTCGCCCACCAAGTCGAGGCCGACAGCCGCGACGAAGTCAGCGAAGTCGCGGGGAGATGCCATGGCGGCTACGCGAGGCGACAAAGGCAGGAGAGAGTTCGAAAGGGCGAGAATGGCGAGACGAGCCGCAAGCTGTGGTCGATCGCCGAAGTTTGTTACACCTCAACATCTCGCTGCTGGAATGGCGAGTTAGGTGGACATCTGTGGACATCCTCTGACAATGCCGGATTCAGCTCGTGGTCGTGCTACACGTGGACAATGTGGAACAGTGGGTCACAAGCTGTTACGGCAAAACGTTGGACGCGGGTCTCAAATTTTGTCTTGTCTAGTCTGGCTTTTGCGACAGTCAACTTCGAGCTCTGGTCGCAATGAATTTTGTTGGATGGCTTTGGCGATTTTGCAAGAAGACGTAGTTTGACAGCTTCGGCTAAAATATCGAACATTGCCGTTCAAAGAGTGGACATGGAAACAGTACTTGATAAGCCACAAGCGACCCGCAACATTATTAGCCGTTTGCGAGAGAAAGGGCAGTTCTGCGTGAACTCGTTCCGCAGAAGCTCCACAGGACAGCTGGTAGGACTGGTGTAAACCTCCAAAAAGGGGACAGCACGTCCCACACCTTGCGAAGCCCAAGAACAAGGTTCTGGTTGAAACTTCAAGGCGCCCAATAGACGGCGGCCTGTCTTTTGGATATTTTCTGCTGTTGTCCTTCGCCACGCTCAGACTCGAACTGTCGATGCTGCCCCCGTCGCCCCCCACGCTCCTCTGAGCTCCCCTCCGTTCCCAGCCCCGCCCGGAAGAACTACTGCAAGTGCAGTAGAATCCCGCGAGCCCAGGTGTGCGTGCGGCGTAGCATTCAAATGAAAGGGAACAGCAGTAGGCACTACCAGTACTGCCTACGACAACACGAAAAAAGGCACGGCATCGGCGAACATGTAACTTGTGCTTTGCTTCTTGTTTTATGCGCCTAAGCATCTGCAGCTCATCCTCCAGCTTCTTCAGCTCCGACCTTTGCCTTGCGTCCTGGCAACAAGCACGTTTATGCTTTTTTCAGCGCCAATACGTACCTGTGCAGAAAAACTGCAGAACCTCCTCTGCCGATTTGGCGAGGCGCTGTCGCAACGTTTGCACCTCGACGTTCCACAGCTGCGAGCATGCGAAACGAAGACGATGACGGAGCCTCTTTCGCCACAGCGCCACTTTGGTGCAGCAAAGCCTTCGGATGTACACTCTGGACCGTTTCCACAGGAGTGGGATGCTACAGCGTTCCTGTCGCTGCTGCTTGGCAACATTAAGATGGGCGAGAATAGCCAGCCTGACTGCAGGTACTTCACATGCCGTTTTGCTGCAACAGAGACTTTCGACCGAGCCAAGCAGCTTTTCTGACCTCAACGCCTCCAACTGCGATTGCCTCATGAGTGGCATGCAGCTTGCGGAGACTATCATGATTCTAAGTCCAGAGGATGTGATCAAGGCTTGCACATGCTGGTGTTTTCATGGCGGACCGAATCGAGCCTGACACAACACGTGTTCTTGGGAAGGGAAGTCATTTTCGATACTTACGTTTTCGGCATCCCGTTTGGACCCACTAGGCCACAGGCTCTTGCTCATGTTGTTGTTTGTCCTCGAAGACGCACGAATTTGGACGGAGGCCTATTCACTCTCACAGGGCTCTGAGCCTCGCACTGCTTCAGCAGCTTTGATGCGGTGTTGAAGCTCTTCGTTATCCTGGCGAGTGTCTTCGAGGGCGACAGCTGGCCACTTCACTTCGTGTCCAGCTAAACTGCTCCATCGGGACCACTTGTTTAGAGGCGTGAGACCAAATCTTACACGTCGAGGAACTGAAGAAGCAACATGATCACCAGGATGAAGGAAGCAAACAGATGTTGCTCTCGATGCTCTGGCCCGTCTCGCCTTGAGACACGATAGCAGCTGGTGCTGCATCACGCGACATTCGGTCTCGTGCGTCTGCAAGTGTTTCCTTCAGTGGCCAAGGACTAGCAGCCTGCAGAGCGAGATTGAGGTGGTCCTCTCAGCGTCCCCTGCTGCAAGCGCTCTTGAAAGTTCATGCCTGCAACAATGCAAAGACGCCGCCCTTGCGACCACACAGCGGTCAAGCACCGGGCTCCAGTTGCGGACTTTCCTGCCATGGCTGCCATGTGTGCGGAATTCTGCAGAGAAGGAGCCAGGGCGCCAGGCCTTCGCGAACGAGGGCGACTTTGGCCTCACAGCCGCAATGCGGCTTGCGGCTTGCGGCTTGTCCTAGGCTTCACGCAGAAATCTGCCTCGCCTGACTCGCACAGCGGGCGCGCTTGCCTTCGCGCCGGCGGCTTTGGCACGGTGCTTAGCAGCCAGTGCCATTGGCTTGAGGCCCGAAAGAGCCTATGCTGCGGTTTCTGCCTTTGGCCCATCTGGCCCATGCAAAGCCTGGATGCTTTTGTATGCTCCACCCAGCAGGACTCAATCGCACCAAAGAAATGGAACCTCATAAAACTTGGGTAAGCATGAAGTGGAAAGCGCGAGCCGTAACCGCAAGTCTGCCAAGGCATCATTCAGCCGAGTACATTCAACGCTCGTCGTTCGGCTGATCAATTACTGGGGTCGCTTGCCGTTTTTATGTCGAAAAACCGGCGTTGTGCAATGATGCTGTCCAGGCCTGAGCCAGTGACCGTCATGTTGGCAAGCCAAATCAAGCCAGACTACATCCAGCAGCTCCGTGAAACTGTGGAGGTACTTCACAGAATCCTTCGGATTCGGAACAGAAACAGCTTGATTCCTGTTTCGAATCTTGTTGGTTCGGCGGCTGCGGCGTGGCTGAGCCAGCATTGTCTGGCTGCACATTGGTAAATTCTCAGTTTCTTGTGCCTGCGCATTATGTATTTTGTTACTTCAACTCTGGTTGAGTCCTCATCATAAGCATTGTTCGCCTGCGTTCTGTCAAGAACGACCACGACGAGAACGTGCAGCCGCAAACGAACCTGAGCGCATCATGGGTCTCTAGCTGACTTGAACAACCAGAAGTGCTGCGTCAGGGATCTCTATCTTTTAGGCTGGACGGCAAATCGGGAACATAGACTGGCTGCCAGCTAGATTCTTAAACCCTTGTTGAACTCTCCAGTCGGCTCTTCATGTGCAGATTCTGACTTCGGGGGTGTCGACAGGCGCAGTGGTTTCGACGCATTGACACTTTCGCAAGCACTCTTCGCACAGGTGAAAACACAGGATCGGTACTTCACCTGTTTGTGCGAGGGGGGGGCATGGCAGCGACCCTACACCACTACACTTTTGGTAACTTCACTTGCCGATGGTGATGTTCGGTACATGGTGACGCAGTGATGCTGATGTTCCGACAGTTTCTGCCACTGCTGCCGCTTCGACTACTTGTTTTTGCAGTGTTGTTTGGCCCCAGTGAATGGAGTCAACCCTGCCACCTAAGCGACGTAGGTCACGGTCCCGTAGTGTTCAGTCTGTGTGGTCTGATGGAAGGTTGCTGCACTCTCCCGGGTTGAGAACGGTGCTCGAAGCTTCAAGTGCGCATCGTCCCGATAGAGCCGGCATAGTGGGGTGTCCTCCGTTAGAATATGCTGTTCTGGCCAAAGACCAGACATGGCTGTTCTGCTGACAGCCGGAATCGTGGCAGGGCCAACAAACTCGAAAACAATCTTGTGTGTTTTCAACCGAACGTCTCTTAAGACTAAGTGTCGAATGTGCTGGCAGACCCGCGATAATCGGCGCGCGCGCGCGCGTCAAGTCTCGCGCGCGTGAATGGACGACTGCAGCGTTGTTGAAGGTGTCACGGCATAGCTTGAGAGGTCGCGAAACAGCACTCGACAGACCCGTGCTTGCAATTGCTCTAGCCTAGCACGGTTATCAGCGACCGCACTCGCAGGATCAAGAGACCACGAAAGCCACAAGAACACTTACACTTGGAAAATTAAAAGCCGGCAACGGCAGGCAACAGAAGCAACTTCAATGGCGGGAGTATAGATAACCTGCACACACCACGAAACTCGTTTTCGCAAGCCTGAGCAATGCATCGCACGGAGAGCTTGCCACTTCTGGACTTCTGAGTCGAACCGGGATCGCAATGACCCCTCCTCACGGAATCCGATGCAGCTACTCGTGAATCAACGGTCGGCAAGCTCTCCACCGTTGGCGATTGTATGGAAACCAGATAGGCATTGGTAGCCCACATTGATGAGAGCATGCAGCTCACCGGTCTTCTAAGAGCATCTTCGCCGCTATCCTGGAACAAAGACCTAGCACTCGATCATGTTTTCCCCCACATCTGCACTCGAGCAAAGAGACGGTGAGTGGACGAGACCAAGGTCGTCTGGCGACTCGGGCAACCAGAAAAATCAAGGCCACAGATTGCACAAACCGGTTCTGTACATATCTCCGAGGCGGTAAATTACCAGGCTCGGCAAAATCCTAAAACACTGAGCAAAGCAAAGTCTCATCACAGCTTCGCGACGAGGTGTGTCACAGATCGGCTCAACTTCTGGAGAGCAAAGTCTGCACTCCTTAGTACTGAAATTACTGAGAGAGACTCCTCGGCCTTCCTGAAACGACAACGGCCCCAAACCCAGCAAAGAGGCTCGAAAGACAGCTACAGAGCAAGCTACAGAGCAATGCGAGTCCATGCACTCTGTCCGCCCTGCAATTTCCGCCCTGCACAAGATATGCGGGCAAGAAGAGATTAGGCAAGTCCAGCCACGTTTCACTCATTCCTCCTCCGTCAACCGCGCTTTGGATCTCCGAGCTGTCAACCAGTCAGACCACGCATTTTTCATTGTTTTGGAACCCAGTCTCCGAACGTATTTGTCGAAATGTTTTATCTCAAACGGCCAATCCTTCTTGTTGTCGGGCAGGTCTTTCAGAACCTGAGTTCCCGTCCAGAGAGCCGAAAGCCCAGAGCATCTTAAACTTTTAAGCCATTTTCAGCGGCTCTACTGTTTCAGGTTTCTTGGCTGCACGCCCTACAGCATAAGCCGTGGAAACAGAACAGGAACCACCTGCGCACAGGGCCACTGCTGAATGCGAGCTGAAGTAGCATGGCTGAAGACGACAAAGTAGCTGCCTGGCGCTGGGAGTTCAGTTAAGAAGGCCAGACTCAGCATGATACTGAGATGTGTTGATTCCATAAGATGTCTGATCAAGCAGTTGGTCTCGATACGAATCCAGTCCACTGTCAGATCCAGGCCTTTCGCCAACGCATGCTCTACCCACCTGGTATCATCCACATACAATGCGGGGCTCTGCTGTATGGCGTCCCACGCAGGAATCCGATAAACTGCAACAGCAATTGCGCCCTTTCGTTCCTGGACCAGCTCCCGATTGTTCAGGTCATAACTTTCTAAGAGATTTTGGAGGACCGTGTCGTTCAGATGGAACCTGCCGCTCGCCAAAAAAGTAAACAGCGTGGTTGACTTGCTCCTGTAAAGGTTACGATTTAAGCCGATGCCAAAAGGCTCCTGGTTGCTTGCACGAGTATTGGCTGAAGTGTCAAGTCTCTCCATGAACGAGCACTTTAGATCCAAAAGCCGCTGCATCATGGCGGCGCAATTCGGATTCTTGGAGCTCGCAAGGGAGGCCCAGAAGAGCAATGACAGCCCATAGTCACTCGTCATAGTCACATCATACCCATGTTCAAGGAGGAGGTCTAGCTTTGTCATGTCGCTGGCCATAGCTGGCATGCATCCTGCCATAAAACCGGTGCCTATGCCACAGTTTCGTGAGGTTGTCGTCACGCCGCACTTAGCATTTGGGTCTGCTCGGGACTCCAGAAGCAGTCGCACACAAGCATTCGCTGGCTCCCCCCAGGCACAGTCCAGCGCGAAGTGAAGGGCTGTGCAGTTCTCCGAGGAGCGAGACTTAACATTCGCCCTGCCCTTTAGCAAAGCCGCAACCAGATCGGGGCAACCACCTGCTGCTGCACACATCAGTAGCGTGATGCCGGTGTCCGGGTGCATCAACTCCGAATCCAGCTCCCCGAGCTCGAGCTCGAGGCTGCCTGCACAAGCCTTCTGCAAACTCGGAGCAAAATCAGCCTTGCTGTCTGCCAACTGTATGGCAGCAGGGGAAGGGGTCTGCACACGAATTGCCTCCTCATGCTCGTAACGCACTGCCATGCGAAGGACGTGCGCATCCATGCAGTCTGGCTCTGGGAAATTAATGTCCGCCTTTATGTCATCCAAGAGGTGCACACCGGTCCAGTCTGGGTTTCGCAGACAAAGTGTTTGTACGCTCCTTCGACAGTTCCAATCGATGCCAAAAAGTGGTGATGAGATGAAACAGACATGTTAATGAAAATCTCAAGCATGTGCAGAGAACTATTGCCGGACAAGCGTCTCACAGTGGGCTGCACAAACGCAATGATGCATTCCTGACAGGAAAATCCGCCGACGCCGGCAGCTGTTGGCAGGGGGCTAGCATTCTGGGAAGGTTGAAACAGCACTGTCCAATCTGGCGGAGGCTAGCCACAGCGTCGTGTTCGTGTGAAAATCGTCTTAGTTGCATGACAAGGAGTGCCGATTCTTGTCTTTGGGCAGTTGCTTGGGCAGGGCGGTGCCGGGAATAAGCGGGGCCGGGCAGAGAGTTGCTGACCTGGACGAGCCGGCCAGGGGCGAGCAGAAGGGGAAGTGTAAGATACGCCTGCAACTGAGCCCTCTCAATCGCTTCGAACATGAAGGGCCGAAGCAAAGTCATGCATCTGCAGTTCTCGGGGCCGGAATGCAACGTGTCGGAGAACAATGACAAGCTACCCCTGCTCTCCCCTCATCTGAGTTCCGACACTACTCAGCCGTCTCCAGGCAAACGGATATATCGCCTTTGTGCTGCCAAGTTCCTGCTGCTAGCAAGGCCTTCACCAGGCTCCATTGCTTGTGGTCCACAGCGAAGCAAGCCAGGGTTCCGACACCTTCACAAATCCAGTGCGCTGCTTCGAGGGGCATCAACTCGGATAGCATTGAGGCAGTTTCCCCCTTCCTTTCCATACCAAGCATATGCCGCTGCTTTTTCAACTTCGTCTCCTCCATCTTCAGCAGCTTCGCCCGCGAATCAATCCACGTCACCCGATATGATTTGACGAGATGTGGAACAGAGGCTTGTGGATATGCATCGTCCCCCGCAAAATACATTTGGTTTGGATGCAAACATATCCTCCCAGTCTTGAGAAGCGCGCGCTCGTCGCTGCCAACTTCCTTGCACCATGCCTGAAAGCAGTCCTCGCCAAGCATCTCTGAAACGTTGATCCAAACTGTGAGCCACCACTGCTCTGCTAAACGATCCCGGCTCTGGCAAGACACCGATGAGGAGCTCAGAAAGTTCCAGTAGGGGGCTACGCGGCATGTCTTGTGCGAATGCTGTAGAACGGCAGTTGCAAATTCAGCCGCAAGAAGCTCCTGGAAGGAAAGATGTGCCAGCTGAATCTGCTTGCCGGCAGCACCTTCCATCACAGTGAACGCGGGCAAGCGTCCTGAAAAGATGCTGGAACGAAAAGCTTCGAAGGTGTCCTGGCGCTGCCAGGCCCCCGTCAGGCACAGCCTAAACCCTGCTGGTAGTATCTTGCGGCATACCTGTCTACGTGAGAATCTCGCTTCTTCTGTGGGTTTCGGTTCCAATCCTACAAGTGCATGACGTATTTCCGACCTTGTCATAGCACAAACAACAACCCAGACTAGAAAGCTGCTCCGCGAACCCCGAATCTTCGAAGAAGCGAGACATCCTTGTCGGAGCTGATAGCTTCGGCTTCGGCCATCGTAAAGGTGCGCTGCCGCATGCAGGTCTCCTGCGAGTTACGACTGTGTGACTGCACCCCTTCAAGCGTACCTGAAATGTCAGACACTAAATTTAAACGACCCTGGACAGTTGTGAGAACATCCGCCTGCCATGCGATTGCTTGGAAAAGCTGTCGCGCCTTTGGACCCTTCCTTGCCAGAGGGTCCATGCAGTGCGAGCAAAGGCTTGCATCAACACGTGCACGTGCACAAGGAGGCGTGCGTTGCGTGCTTGAAGCTTGAAGTTTGCCGAGGCGCAGGGCCTCGAGCTGGCGAATCGTTTCCATGTCTGCTTGACCATCCCGCGACATGAACTTCCTTGTCGCGACCGGTTCGGGCTTTGGAGGCTATGGTGGACTAGACAGGTCTTACAGTTGGAAAGTATATACGGTTGCAACCAAGCAGCGCTGCATCAGCAACATGCAACATTAACCTTGGTCCAAACTATGACACATCGCAAGCTTGTTCCGGAACACTGACACCACCGTCAACACAAATAAAGGCGCACACAGCAGCCATTGGCAAATTGCGAAACGCAGAAACGCTTGAAAAAGGGCGAGCCACTTTAACGCCTGCTGATACATGGTTGTCTTGGTCAAAACCTTCGCCGCTTTGTCCGTCTCCTCCTCACGGCTCCATGCTCACGACTTAAGAGCAATTGCTGACAACGTCTGCGATGCTTTCATTGATTCATAAGTCTGTGCAACCCTGGCCTGACCACTGACTAGCTGACTTCATTCTACCAAGGCTCCGTCTTGCGCAGAACGTGCACGAGCAAAGTAAGGCATAACGGATTACCGGCCAGCCCCCCATAGACCGGGTCGGCAACAGTGTCCTCGCAAGCAAATGTGTGCAAAGGCATGTGCTGCACAGAAGGCATCAGGGATCAACTTAATCCGAGTGGCGACCACCTTCTGCATTCTAGCTTCCGATTCGCGACTGCGCTTCATGATGGATGCGGCCAGCTCTCGCGAAGCTTTCTGCGACAAAGAAGACATGAGGCACGCAACGAAGCCCATGGTGGCGAGAGATTCTTGTTCGGCGAAACCCACGATTCCCGGCCGGGAAGTCAGCAAGGGAAAGCTGCAAGGCTCCACTGCCAACAGTGCTGCCAAATACGAAAGAATTGTTGTGCGCAGCACTGCAGCCTCATCCAATCCATCTAGAAGCACAAACAAGCCCAGGACATCTGCTCCCTCTTCGCTTGACCCCTCTTCGTCGTCGGTTTCCTGGGATTGACGAACCTGCACGATGAGTTGTGCCAAAGACGAATCTGCTCCGTACTTCCGCGTCATCCAAGTGGCGAGCGGGTCACTGAGTGCGTCGGGTTCTGGCAGCAATGTTGGGTCCTCCTCCATCTGTCGCATGATGTCCACCAATGGCACCCGGAGAGGCACCAACACCTCGCGAGGCGTGCCTTTGCCATTGTCTCCGTCCGCCGTCTTCTTGCGCTCAGCAGAATGTTGGTGAATGTATGCAACCTGGAAGCTGCAGGCAGTGCTGTCTGCACCATGGTGCCGCTTAGCTACATGTACGACATTAGTTTTCCTCCCTAGGGCTCCATCTGCTAGACTAAAACCACGGATGCTCCGACAAAACTCGGGAAAAGCTGATCGAAATTGCACATCCAGCAAACATCTGTGACACTAATCACTAATCACTAGCAAGTAAACCACAAGGCTCAGACACTTCGGAAGCTATCAGGTGTTGGACTTGCAATAGGACGGCCCTCGCGGCCCCACAGTGCCGATCTCATATCTGCTACTTGGGCACGTATTGGCAAGAGAACCCAACACCCACGGAAAAAGACCTAGGAAACAAAAATGCCAAACAAACAAAAACCTGGTAGAGTAGTCTCCTGGAAAGTTGTTACTGTAGTGCGCAAAGGCGGGTGTGTGTGTGTGTGTGGACCTCTGTTGCCAAGAGGAAATACAGATTTCAGCATTGCAGGGGGGCAGCGAGCATTTCTGGATTGCGCTGCCTAACAAAGACCGTCCAGATTTGCTGTGATATGAAGAAGGGACGCCTTCTTCACGTACCGGCAAGTTTCATGTCCGAAGAGTTTCGTTGCCATGTACAGCAGTAACAGATTGAGAGTGATTGAACAGCCTTGAGTCCTGATTGGCCCTGGAACCCCTGAAAGCTTCATGCTTTCAAGATGCATCAAGCAGTGCTTGATAAACAATTGATGA